AGATTTCTTGGCAAGAAAAAAATATTTATGCAACTGAAAGCTCTGCCTTATTTTTTTATTTCCTGTTTTGAGGTCGGGAGATGGGCATTAGTTTGTGCATTATCACAGACCCAAACACAGCTCTTGAAATAATGCAGGGTGGTACTGAGGGGTGCCCACATTCCCAGGAAGAAGCTGTTCCTTGTAGGCTCCTCATCCAGAAGCAATGAAAAGGGATAACCAAGTGGTTATTACCCTGTCTTTCCCATATCCCTAAAAATAGGTAGAAATCCTAGAAAGGCCTGAGTGTGGAAAGGGTGAAGAACCTCTAATTAAGGCCTTTTCAGCTAATTTAGGGCCTCCTAGGGCTTAGAACCAGCTGTTATTTTGGGGGAGATGAGTTGGGCAGGTTTTTTTCTCAGCCCTCCACTGCCTATACCTTTCTTTTTAGAAAAGTGTATGTGTCTTACTGTCCCCACATATCTAATGTACATTGATTCAGCACAGTCCCAACACCCATTTTGATTTATTGAGTGATCTCAGTGAGGGAACCCATACCACAGGCTGTCTCTGCAATGTTGTAAGTGACTTCCATGCATGTTTGAAGTTATCAAGGTGGTTGCAGGACACTTTAAAGAAGTCTTTCTCTGTCTTTTAGATCCATTTACATTTTTGCTTATGGTCTGTACTTCTTGGAGCAAACCATGTTAGGAGCAGAATGCCAGCTGAGCTGATGCTATTTCTGGCAGATGGGATGAGCTCATAGTCATTCACTGACACTCCACGTTGGCCTTTACTAAGCACTCCAATCCATTCTGGCATAGTATGCCAAACTATCAACTACAACCCATCTTTCTAGAGAGCGATAACAGTTTGGCAGAGGGGTAAAGTGATGGAGAGGGGTACAAACAGCTCTTTCTTTGGTTCTCAACACTGCACTTGGTCAAGGGGCTGAGCCAAGGATCAGTGTTTGCACACTGCAGCTAGGCCTCACAGGAGAGTATCAAGGGCTTGACACACAAAGGGTGTCTAACGGTGGACAAAGAGCTAAGAGAAAGAGTAATTACAGCAGAAGCTGTGTAAGGGATGAGGAAAAGGTGAAAGGAGCATGGGCAAAGTAAGAAAGGGAAGAGCTTGGCTGACAAACACTGCTTTCCGTTTCTCTCAACTGCTCTGCTGTCCTGAGCACACCTCTAAGCACCCATTCAATGATTTCTCTTCCTCCTCACCTTGAAAATTTGGCAGAACCGTAAATAACCTGCTCCTACTTTTAAACATAAGCACTCTTTCAAGCTATTAAAATTGTATAAGCATCTGCCCTCTTCCCACTCAGTCAGTGCTGAGTTTTGGAAGGAGCGTTCAGCTGTTTTGGCAGGCAGATTCGCCTCTCAGACAGACATGCTTAAGGCTTTCTGACAGTTCTGGGTTCCAGCGTAACAGTGAAAATCCTGTTTCTCCTGATTCACTGCGGTTTACGTTTCTAAAAACAGTAATCCATAGAAGCCGCAGTAAGGGGACATGTCTGCCGAATACCCCATGCAGCAAAGTTATATGATGGCATCCAATTCTTTATGATGTGTTATCCTAATGTCCCTTAAGCAATTGTACTGGGTTTGGCTGTGTTGGATTTAGTTTTCTTCACAGCAGCTCCTGTGGTGCTGTGTTGTAGATTTGTGACCAAAACCAGCGCTGGTATCACACTAATATTTTAGCTGTGGCTGAGCACTGTCTGCACAGCGTGGAGGCCGCCTGTTTCTCTCTGCTTCCCCAGTGAATAGATTGGGGGGTGCACAAGAGGTTGGGAGGGGATACTACAAGGCAGATCACCTGAACAAACCAGAGATGTCCTGTGCTAAATGGCATCATGCTCAGCTATTAAGAGGGTGGAGGTGAGGTTTAGGAGTTAGCAATCTTTTTGCTCAGGAAGTGGCTGAACATTGGTCTGCCTGTGGGAGGTGGCGAGCAATCACCTTTGCATCACTTGCTTTGTTTTCTCTCTCTCTTCTACTTCTTCTTAACTTATTGTGTAATTTTAATCTCAACCCACAAGTTCTTCTTGCTTTTAGTCTTCCTTTCCTCTGTCCCCCTGGGCATGAAGAAGTGATCAAGCGTCTGTGTAGCACTTAGCTGGATAGCAGTGTTAACCCACAGCAGCAGCATTTTGTCATCCATGGATCAGTTCTAGACCTTTGAAGTCAGGATATCTGCTTCTTCCTCAGAGTGCTGTATATCACTGTTGACATTTTTGAGAAAGTCTAGAAAAAAAAATATTTCTTATCCAACACCAGATATAAAGCATTCTTGTCAAACACAACTATACCAATCTTGTCTGAGGACTTGGAACATATATGAAAATGGATCTCTCCTCCACTTTTCCAGCCAAAATAGCATTTTTGTCTCTCCCCTACCCAACCCACTTTCTAATCTTCTGCCACTGTTGCATTGCAGCTATGTTAATTTCACCTGGATACTTTTGTCTGCATCTCCCATGACCATACTTGCTCTTTTCTCCACAAAAAAAAGATCTACCTCCAGTCTGACCTGTATGTCTGCTCCCCACATGTCCTTCAAACTACTTGGCAAGATTCAATTTACCATTATCTTTTCTTGTGTTGGTGGCTGAGTTATAGATGGATCTCTGTCCTTCTGTAGGGAAAGTTGGAAGTACAAGAAGCCTTTTCTTTGTATGGATGGGCAGCTTATAATTTTTTGTTCACACTTTTCCTGGCTTGTCAGTTTTCTAAGATTTTCTGCTATCTATTAATATATCCATCTGGTTTAGAGTTTTTTTTTCTAATGCCCCTGTCATTGTGGCATCTTTGTTTCCCTGCAACATCCTCATCCCCTTACAATACATGTTTTCGCCTGTGGCAGGGATTTTTGTTGCTTTTAAAGTGGGTAGATGTGAAGATTAGAAAGAGTTCAGGAGAAAAGGGAGCATTCTAGTGGAGCATTTCAGCATTTCAGCCTCCCAGGAGGTTGCTGAATTTATGAAGAGGAAACTGTTGCAGCATTTCCTAATTCTGATCCAACTTTGGATTCAACATATTTCTTCTGTAGCTGCCTTCGACAAGATTGATTTGTTCTGAGCTCTCTTAGAATGTACTCTGCATAGTCTCAGAGATGCAGGACTGCCATGGTGTTTCTTAAGATGAGTTTGATATTGCTGGGACATGAGCTACCACTGTATTCTAACTGGCGTTGGGAGTGGACAGTGAATGAACAGTGGTGGTTCTGGCTATTGTCCAGCATCTCAGCCAAGATGGTGACCATTATAATGACACTTAAGGAATATTAATTGCTCTTTTGTTATTGGTCAGTGTCTAAAAACATCCCTCATCCACAAATAAGGAATTCATCCACAGGACATTTTGAATACATGGGTAAACCTTCAGCTGGTAACTGCAGCCCTGGTTAGTGCAACATCGGGATAATACTCTACTAACCAGCTTGCAATTTGTAGCGTTGTAATTGTAGAAAATAGGAGAATTTTGTAGAAAGGAGAAGCCACATGTCAGCTTACAATATCTTGTAAAAATGACACAAGTTAAAGATGCTGCCCCATCCCTGGAGGTGTTCAATGCCAGGCTGGATGGGGCTTTGGGCAGCCTGGTTTGTTGGGAGGTGTCCCTGCCCATGGCAGGGGGCTGGAATTAGGTGATCTTTAATGTCCCTTCCAACCCAATCCATTCTATGATTCTATGATTCTGTGCTGTTTTCAAATGTAAATATGCATCCGTCTTTAAGCCATTGAGTCACAGAGATCTTAATGTCAAAATAATCAACCATTAATGAGATCCAGGTATTGCTGTCACAAGTCACCCTGGATCAGTCTCAGGTGACTGGCTGCAAATGAGTTGGTTTCTAGAGCAGGGAATGAATTTGGAGCCCCCAACTATGGGTCTTCTGGATTCTGAAGCTTGAGCATCCTTGGATAACTTTGAATAACAAATAATTTTGGGGGCAGAAAGGGTCATTTTATCCTTCCAGTTTCACCAATCTCATTTCCTGTAGTTTCCTCAGTTGCTATTTTTCAAAGCAGCCACTTCAAGGAAACTGGCTAATGCTGCACTGCTTCTCAGCTAAGAGAAGGCTGTGTAACCTGTGTTAGAAAAGGCCTCTGGACTGTGAAGTCTGGTTCTAGAATGGGAATCTTGGAAAAATAGCGGTTTATTCCCCTCCAGTTCAACGCATAGCCCATTCACATGCATCGGTATTTGTACAGTTGCTGCAAAGTACTTGAGACATCTCTGTGGACTTAGCAAACTACTTAAAGTTGCAGTTATTATGTACCTACAAACAGCTCAAGTACAGCTTGGAACACAGTTTATTTCCCCAAAGATGAGTGGATAGGGACGGTGCAAGGCAAGGATAGCTCAGCTAAACGCTAACCCTTCTTGAAAATTACCTTGAGATCTTTAAATGGTTCCCAACTCCCAGAGAGAAGCTGAAAGATTTGACCTCAGTGTAGCATCTCATCCAAAAAGCAGTAAGCAGTTCTGACAGGGCAGGACTCCCCGAGAGCTGTATGGAAAAGTCAGAACTGGACATGAGCCCAGACTTGGGCTGCGCTGAGACTCAAGACTTTTGGGGATTTCAGATGAGCCATAATTGGACAGATAGGGACTGCAGGAATCACAGTCACTGACAAGGAGATCATTCCTAAAATTACTGGTGGGGAAAGTGGAAGGAAGGACCATTTCAATTATTTGCTGCTACCAACACATGCAAGACCTGTTCAGGGAACAAAGGAAGGCTTTGTTTCTCATTCTGGCCACTCTGACACTTCCCAGGAGCTTTAAATTGGAAGGAGAGTAAGAGGCTTGCTCTGCAAATAGCTCGGATATCAGAGTGGGACAGAGCGATCAGCACGAGGGAGTTTGGCATCGTTATCCCTCGCATCTGCCCGAGAGCCTCAATCAACACTCCAGCCGCGCGGTGCTGTGCCAACAAGTGCAAACACGGCGCCTGCCCTGCAGCGTTCGCAGGCCGGCGTTGAGGTGGGACGACGAGGGGGGAGCCGGGGAGAGGTGTGAGACAGTGTGATATTGGTATAACGAGCACATTTGCATGCCGTCAGCAGTCGCAGCCAGCTTTTTCCCCAGGCTCTGCCAGGTGGCCGCGCTCCGCAGGATTCATGGCAGAGGTAAAGCTGAGAAGGGGGGCTGATGGAGGACAAGATGGTACCTTCGTGGGGAGATTTTTGCCGTGATTGAGAGGGCAGGCTGTGAGAAAGCATGGAAGTGTCTGCAGGAGAAGTGACAGAATCTGTTATCTTTAGTGAGGGAAGAAAGTTTTCTGCCATGACAGAGTATTAGATTTAAGAGCCAAGGAGAGACCAAGCAGTGAAGAGGCTTAGACGAAAAGGCTCAAGCTTTCCTCCCAATCCCACAGAAATATTTATAGTATCAAAACATGTGCTATCAAGATGAAAAATTGAAATCTCAGAAGCACTGCTTTGATGTTTTCTAGCTGCTGGGGATCTCGAACAGAAATCCATTACGTTCGACTTCATCATAAAAAGAAACTATAAAATCTCACTGCTCACCTCATGAATGATCCCCGCAGGGCAGCAGGGGAGCTGGGACCTTCCAGCTTCCACCCAAATGTCACTTTTCACACTCAGCCCGAGCTGCTACGTGACCATCACTGCAGCTTCGGGCACAGCCAGCAAAATCCCCACTGAGCACTGCTGTGCCACCCCAGTCCTGGTGTGTGCTTGCAGTTTTGGGTACCCTAGGGCTTGCATCTGCACCACCCACGCCTCCTGCGAGAGGGAAGTAAAACTAGGAAAGGTTTTATCGTGGTTGTACCGTCCTGGTGGGGATGGGCTCCAATACCCTTAAGGTAAGAGCTGCTCCCACTCTTCAGTTTCATTAACCAAGCATGAAATGTATTTTTACTCTGTTTAGCGTAGGTTTAAGAAGGAAATAATTTTGAAGCAGAAAGCCAGAAATGATCAATTTGAAATGTCAAATGATTTTTTTTAAAAACTTTTTTTCAAGTGAAAATATCCTTAAGTGGGGTGTCTTCCTCCTCTGTGGAAAGCTTCCACTTCAGTAAACTGATATTTTTTCATTTGAGAAAATATGAGCTTCTGCGAAGAGGGAAGCCAATGCTCAACCTGGTACAGAATGGGGAAAGGTGAATAAAGAGCAAATGTGGTGAAAGCACCAAAAAGGAAGCAAGACAAGAAGATTTTGGACCAGACAGCTAGGAATGACAAAAGCAGATTTATCTTTTTTTAAAATTTAGTAAGTAGTCGGAAGCTCTGGAAAAATAAATCAGGGATAACAAGCAAGCTACCAGTGGCTCACTGCTAGATGTTCCTGTTGTGACAGAAAAAGGATGGGACTTGGGAGAATAAGATTTGCTGGGAATGATCAAGAGCACAGGTTAAGAAAAGGCACGTATGTATGTATATATGTGTGTATGTATGCTATTTATCAGGAAGACAGGCCAAGAAGTGAGATTAGATGGCTGCCAGTGATCATGAATAAAGTTTTGCATTTGTAATTTGTGTATAGGCAGATACTTAATCAGACCAAATCCTATATGGTTATCTCTGCAAGACCAATGCTAGATCTTGTTTGCCCAAAAGAACAGCCTCTAAAAAAATATTTTCCCCTTCCTTCTGTTTTTGTGATGTATAAGAAAGGAAGCTCTATCATTAATCCTCCCTTGACACTGTTCACAGATGCAGTAACTTTGCATCACACCAGAGTTACACACTGAGAAATCGGAAATCTGAGCATCTGACTTCAAAAGTTGAATTAATGGGAACAAAACTTTCCCCTAGGGCTGTACAGGAGAGATGGGATTTAGAGCACATGGAAAAGAAAAAAATGTTAGCCAGCAATTTAGTCGTAACTCTGAGAGGGACTCTCTGCTGATGGCAAAGACTGTGTGCCTGACCTTCCCGAGGCTGAGTGCCCCCAGCTTTTGCCCTGAGAGCATTTAAGACCGAGTCCCTATCGAACTGGCTAAAAGCAAACAGAGGGCACAGCCCCTTTGAAGGGCTGTTCATCCTTCCCAGCACTGCGCCTGCCCTCAGCTGCGCTCATTCTCTCTTCAACACCAACTGGTAGTGCCTCATTTGTGGTGGGAAGTGTGTTTTGGGGAGGAGATGAGACTCCTGAAGTCAGCTTTGCTTTGACAGAAGCACTCTGTGATCTGTGCTCCGCTCCTGTATGCATTCAGCATGCCAGTGTGTTTTAGGATGGAGCTGGTGGGGCTTGAAAGGGGAACAGGCTGGAAAATGGGGGTAAGGTGTGCTCTGAATTCAGACTCAGGGTCCCCCTCGGAGTTTAAGCGCCTGCACACTTGCAGCTGTTTCTGACAGCTCTGAGCCTGGGATCGCGGAAACATCCAGGCACAAGTGGTACAACCCCTGTAACCCAGAACCACTCCCATGGCAGACGGGCTGAACAATTCCTGGCCTTCACCAAAACCTCAGCTGTGACATGCCCTGCAGTTCCCGAGTGCAATCCTATAGCTTTCCCTTGCTTCCCATAACGCAGGTGTCATTCGTCATGGTTATTTTCAGGCACGAGAGAGCAAGTTGCTCGAATCAGGCACCACATCCAGCTGAGCAGACCGGGGGAAAACCACTCTGTGGACATGAAGAAAGGTGAATCAAATGGTCCAGCTTAAAAAAACGTACCCACAGCAGGTCAGTCAGTGCTGAGACTCCCGTGTCAAAGCAGAAACCTCCTTCCCCAGCCATAGGAGACACAGCCTGTTCCTCTTTAAATCTGTGCTGTGTGCTGCAGTGCTCTGCATTGTTGCCATGGCAGAAATCTCCCCATAGTAATAACCTCTTTCAGGGAAGGTTAAAAAGAGACAGTGCACATGCTCAGAAAAGCTGCACTTGTTCTGTTAGCAGTTTGCAGCGGCCATTTCAAAGAGAGCATCACAAAGGCGAGAGAGAGATCAGGTACTGATTTTTTTTCCTTTGTTGGAGGGGGTGACTTTTCTCTTTCACAGAAGACCTCGCACACATCTGTCTCCGTTCCCAGATGCATTGCTGCGAGAGACCACCCTGGAAGCCTGTCGTGATTGTTCCTTGCAGATAGCAAATTCCCACAATATTCCTAGGAGGCAGGACTTAGATGTGGCCTGAGGTGATGGCTGCACTCAGGGAGCAATTATTTTGCAGCAGGGCTCACGTGTGAAGCTGAGCTGAGGCTGGGGTGGGCAACGTGTAAGGTACCTTGAAAAAGTTTAACAGTATCCGCCTTGTTTTCTGAACCTCTATAGCACTGGTAGTCCACAATGAGAACAGCCTCCCGTCCTACTGACCAGCAGGCTTCTGCATTAGGTACTTTCAAAGGAGGCTGGTGTTATCCTGACGTGCTGTTACTCAGAAACACTCTGCTGCATCCTGTTGCAAAGCCTTGTGCCTTTGATTGTACTTGCTTTGATCACAGGTCACCATTAACTAAAACAGAAAAAAAAACAAAAAACAAAAAACAAAACAACACCCACAAACCAACAAGCCACTTGTTATGATTTAAATTCCTTTATTTTAAGGATTGAAGAAATAAGAGAAAGCATCACATCAGATCACTTCTAAATAGTGGGAGGAATAGGAAACCCAGTTCTGGTGTTACAGGAATTACATTACCAGATGTGTTACTTGCTATGGGCCCAAATGTGTTTGTGACTCTGTGCATGTGTATTTCTTGCTTCTGAAACATCCCTGTCCTTACATGTAGATTGAAGTGCACAGAAAGGAGATGTGTAATGCTCACCTTTCCTGGATAAATTGCTGGTTTGCACATGCTGCAAGTGTTTGTGCAAAATTAGCTGTGTCTGAAACAGTGGCTTTGCACGTATTGAAGAGCAGACTCGTTTCATTCTGTTTGTGGCAAGATAAGGAAAAACCTTTCCCTTCCTGCCTCCCTCTGTTACACCTCCAAATGTGAAATACAGGCTGTTCTGGAGAAGGCTGTACTCCTGCATTCAGCACATGTGGGTTTGACATTCTTGTGCAACATCTTTCAATTAATATGTACTTCAAAAACAGGAAGAAACAGCCTGTTGTACTGCTTTCCTGGACTCAGCTAAAGAAAATCTTCATGTGGATTTTATTGTGTTTTTACAACCCTATTTGATTTTTTTTTCTTCTTTCCTTTGAACAAACAGGACCGGAAGGTAAACTTGGCTGAACTAAGGACCACCCTAGTAGTTCGCCAGGATGCTTGAGGCTTGTGATTGAAATCTCAAATAGGCGTTTGCGGGTTAAACCAATCCAAGTTTTCTGTGTTTCCTCTTGATCTGAACAGTTTACTTGTTGGATCAAGAAAACACTTCATTTGAAGCCTGTGTACTTATCAAACACATTACCTCTGTGAGAAAGGGTGGGTGTTGTGGGACCAGATTGTACCTGTTGTCCGGACATGGTGTGGGCTGGCTGTGATATTCAGGAACAAATGGATGGCTGCAACAAATCTGAAACTCAGATCAGGAAGGGAAACTTTTTTGATTATTTACCACTCCGCCTATGAATTTGTAGAAGTTTAACAAAAGTCTTTTCTTTCAGCTATTTTCATAATGGAGTAAGTTTTTACGATCAGTGTTGTGTGTAGTTAATGATAGTGGTTAGCTTTAGTTATTATTCTAGCGAATAGATGAGACACCAATAAAGCAAGCCAGTGGGTAAAAAACTCATTTTGAGGGACAGATCCATTTCAGGTAGCTCTATAATCCTTAGAGGCTTGATCTCAAGGTCTAACAGTGGACCAGCTGCCCAAACTCATGTGCTGGTCTGTGTTCATACAGTTAGAAAAAAAGACTGGAGTCACAGAGTGGGTAAAGTTTCTGGCATCCTGGCTTTCTCACAAAAATAAAAGCTGTCTAGGGACTTCTCATTTTCTCCTCCATGTCTAGGGACATTCTCTCCCAGCTGTGTGTTACGTGCAGTATTGGAAAAGTACAGAGAATGTCTGACTGTGCTATAGATCTTCTGATTGCCTTTTTTTTTTTTTTAGATTATTATTATTTTTTTAATTATTATTTTTTCTTTTAAAGGAAGTCTGACAATGCTTTAGCTATCAGGAACATAAAGTTCTTTGTAACAAAACCCTGGTATCTATAATGTTCCTCCCTGACTTGTTTGTGTCTCTTGATAAAGAGAGAAGCACCCGTTCCCAAGATGCTGGCACCCTGCCTTCTGAGAAGAGTGGTCCTTACAGTTCCTTTCGTTCTTGTGGCTGCACTACTCCTCATGGAGCCTGTTAGATCTGATCAAGAAGCAGGAACAGCCATACCAGCTGAAAGTATGTACCACCCTACAGTCCTCTCACACAACCTGTACTGTAGCTTTAATGTTGCAGGACACCACATCAGTGAAGCTTGTCCAAATAATTCAAACTGTTTTGGAAATGTCTTACTTATGTTGTTTTAAAGCCACAACCTGAACTTTCATACTGTTTTCCTCCTGCATCCAAGGCTCTCTAGTTTCTTATTCTTGTCTCCTGCCTGTTGCTGTCTTGCTGAACCTGAAATCTGGCAATGTTCTGCACCTTGTATTTTGTGCAGCCCTTTCATTGTGTTGGCCTTTTCTATGCCATGAGTCACCCTCTTTGCTTTTCAGAGACATTCTTGAGACTTACTTTTTTCAACTGATGTTGCCCCCTCATTACATCTTTCATTCTTGGTAATGTCTGCTCTAATGAAATCAGTACTTTTTATTTTAAAATTTCACAGTGAAGATGCCAAGAAAGCACAACTTGTCAGCTCTTAGCCTTGCTGCCTTCAACCACCTAATTCTCCTTTGCTAATCTGTGTTGGGTTTAATTTATGTCATAAACATAATGACAGGTCCATGCATCAAGTTGTTGGTGTGGAAAGTGCTGTCCTCTCCTTTTGTCTGGTGCATAAATGATAACACTAAGGCTGGGTGGTAGTATAATGATGGGAGAGGAAGTCTTTATTGCTGCTTGGTGTTTTTTTTTTTTTTTCCTTTTTTTTTTTTTTTCTCTTTTCCCTCGTCAGTTAAAGAATTTGGCAGACTCCTTCTCTCCCGCAGCCAGGATCCCTCTCTTCTGGTTAGCACACAGGTCATGAGCTGGAGGCCAGCTTATCAGAGGCATGTAGTAATCAGTCAAGTATCAAGTGTTTGCAGAATAGGCTGACAGACACTGCAGGATACCCTTACTTTAGGTTTTATCCTTTCTTCCTTACCATACTTCAAAGAGCAAGCTAAGCCTGTGCTCAGAATTCCTCACTTGTGCAGTTATTGCCTATGAAGTTGTCAGAGAGGCACAGGCACTGAGAAGCAAATAAGAGCATGTGTAGAGGCTGATGATTCTGAGACATTTTATCGTGTCTGGATTTGTTCAGTCTCTGTACTGCTATTTGTTACAGAGCAGCTTTGTGATACATGATGATCAAGGCAAAGCAAGCCTTGTGACCTTAAGTGTGGATTATCTAGATATCTTAAACACTGCAATTATTCCAAAATGCAGCCGTTTTGTTTATCAGCAGTGCCCTCTAATCACAGGGCATTGTGTTTATCTGCTGCTTGCTTCACTAGCTTTTGACAAAGCTGTATCATATTCAAAGTTGGAGTCCTAGTGATCTGTCTTAGTGATAACGATCTCAATTGTATTCCATTAGCTTTCTATTTAATGCTCAAATTTGTGAGATTAGGAGACAGATTTTTCCTGGGAACAGGACCGTGGTTGTAGAGATCATCTTTAGAGAAGATGAGGTTGAGCATGTGGTCAGGGTTAGTGGAACAAAATGGAGGACTCGAGTTATGGGTTTAGCATTTCCACACTTCTGTGAACTGTGACAAGAGAAGAAAGATAGTGGAAAGGGGGAGGAGAAGAGATATAGGAGGACGAAGGGAACAGCAGTGAAGGAGGAAGAAAAGGGAAGAAAACATGATATTTTTAATGCAAATTTGTTAATGTAATTCTTTTGCCACTGAGACGTTGGATGGTCCATCGTGATGGTCCATTTTGCAAAAACCTGGATTGTGTAAGAGTACATACATCGGTATTCATTGTGGACCTTTTTCTGTAGTTCTTCATCATGCTCAAGATCACTGTTTACTCCTTCTTAATAGCTCATGCTATGTTCTCTGCTAAATGCTCTCCTAGGCCGCCCCTGTGTTGATTGCCATGCGTTTGAGTTCATGCAGAGGGCTCTACAGGATTTAAAGAAGACAGCATATAATTTAGACACACGGGTAAGGAAACATTCAACTTTTTTTTTTTTTTTTTTCTTAATATGAAAGAAAGTGCTGTGGGTAGGAGTAGATAAATTGTATGATTTTTGCACAGACACTGTCATTGAACTGTACTGTCCTATATTCTAAGGTGATGCTGGGTAATTACATCTCACCTCTCTGGTCAGTAATGTGGAATTCTTCTCACTTGGGTTATCACGTTATCAGAGAAACTAGGAAGTTTATAAAAGTGAACTGACAGTCCTTAGCTCTTTATCCTTCTCTTGGCCAAGTTAGAGCCATTAGCACTGCTGTTCTCATTCCAAATGCTGAGTGCACACCCTTGTGTTTATGTCAGAGGGAGTAAGGTCACAGCATCATTTACATTTATTACCGAAAATGAGAGTCAGCTCAAACAAAAAAAAACATACTAAAATAAAATAACATGCTTCTGCCCCTGGGGAGAGGCTAAGGGAGGAAACATCATCTCATAGATATTTTTCACATTGCTCTGATTCCATAATGATGAAAAATACCACAAAGTAGAGCAGCATTGAGGATGAAACTTGTTTGGCTTGCAGTCAGAGTGGAGAATTTGCCAAGGTTGGTATCTTCCTTCTGTGAGTGAAGTTGAATCTGTCTCTTGCTACTGCAGCCTGCAATCTGTGACTAGCTGTATCCCAGCTGCTGTCAGATAGCAGTGTCTTGGGAGGGTATCTTTTCCCCTACCTCCCATGTACACTTTTGCTAAAGTGCTATATCTGCACTCTTGCACAGATTTTTTCAGCAGAAGGCACTCAAACTTTTTTGCTATTCTTATCTATGGACAAGGTCATTCGCAGTTCAAAGCTTGCAAACTGGCATTTTTGAAGAATGGTTTGAAGTAACTCCAAGCAGGGTCCATGACATTTGGATGAAAATGCAGCTGTAGGAATAAAGATGCCTTGAATTGTGATGTACTATAAGAAACAAACATTCGAGCAGAACCAAATTAGTATGTAGCAGATTTACAGTTAAACAAAATCTGTTCAATAAATACAGGTCAGATGTATTTTGGGCTCCTTCATGGAGAAATCCTGTTAATGCATACATCTGCTGAGTACTGTATACAGCCAAAACAGGATGTTCAGATTGTGCTGAAAAGTGGTTCTAGCACACCTTTTCCTTCTGTTACAAGCTTTTCAACTTTTTGCTAGAATTTATAAATCTTGATTCAAAAATATCTCAACTACTAACATCTTCTCTGGTTGTCTGGCTATGGCAGTGACCTTTGTGACACCTACAGCTTTCATACCAAGCGTAAAGCTTTATAAAATAAAGGTATCCAAATCTGGGTGGTAACAATGAAGACTGAGCTGCATAGCCCCCAGAACAGCAACTGTATTTTAATATCTAAAAGTAAAAATAAAAATGAAAGACAGCCAAGGAGAGGAAACAAGGATACAAAAATGCTCAGCTGAGAGGAATGTCCTATAGTTGAGTTTTGCAGCTGTAGATTTGACAAGGCTGAAAATGTGGCTCCATGATACATTCTCATTACAAATCTATCACTTCCTTGCCACTTTAAAATCTAAATAATTGAAGCCATATTGGGATCCTTGAAGGCCTCTGGGTAGGACAGGCCTATTCTAGTCAGTAAGCTAGGAATTCTGCCTACATCTTCAAAAGACATGGAAATATTTAATAGTTGAGGACTTCTTGGCTCATATAACTGCCTTCTACACTGTTTCAGTACTTAGTTTTATTATTCTTCTGTGGCCCAATTTGATGCAAACTGGGAGTTTTAGGACAATTACTTTCAGCCACATATATATTTTATGTTTGACTATTTTGGTCTGCTTTGCTGCTGAGTGGGGCAAATGTTGCTGTCCCGAAAATACAATGCCCTTTGTTAATATTCCCACTAGAGACACTCATTTCCTTGAAAAACTCCCTTTTGTTTGCAGGCAGGAATTTTAGATGATGACTAAGCAGCTCCTAACTGTGTTGGAGGAGGAGGGATTCCCAAAAGCTCAGAGAGAAAATTCCCACTTAATTCCTCCTGCTAGTCTCACTATGCAATTCAGCATGGTGGAGACGGTATCATTTTATTGCACAACTCAGAGTTTTCACAGTTAATTTGGCCCTGCGTTGATCTGCATGGTGTCTGACAAAGCAAACTGACTCTACCATAGGTCACGCAGCATTTTATGTAGGCCATAGGCTATATCCTCGTCCTTTTACAGGACTAGAAATGCCTGTAACCTACACGGGTGTGCTGATCCTTTACTGATTGACAGACTGGCTGCCTTTTACTTGTGTGGTAAGAGAAGGGTCCCAGCCCCTCTGAGAGGCTGGCTGCTGCCTGGGCAGATACCAGATCTATTTGCCACCTCTGCGTACTGCTTTTGTTGCCGCTGCCTCTGGGAGCAGGCTGCCAGGTGGATTAGTTGTTTTAACAGCAGTAACCAACTCTAGGCAATCTTTTACAGGAATACCTGTGATTTTCCACTCACGTAACCAAAGTGCAGTACCTGGCAGGTGCAGCTCTGATCATGAACTAGCAGAGGGCTCTTTTACTGTTGGGAGGGAGCTGTTACCATCAAAACCATTCCACCAGCCCCCAGCCAGCTCCCTACTGCATTAGCAAGCTGCTCGAGACAGAGGCCAGCAGGAAGCAGGTGATAAAACAACTCCCATAAGACAAAGCCTGTCTGTGGGCTACACGATTCACTGTATGTCTGTGCTATAAACACTTTCAAAATCCCAATCCATTTTTCAGAGTTAACCAGTGGGCATTGTGCTACACCTTAAAAAAGCTGAGAAAATGCATTTTTAGCTGGAACTTAGATCTCTTTTTGTAGGTTGAGAGTCTGAGCCCTGCCCTGATTTTTTTTTTTTTTCCCCTTTGATGTGCTTTAACCCACTGGGGGATAATAACCAATCTCTGTGTAAATGGTTTTGTGATCATGCTCACAAAACAGTCAGTAAAGCTGTATTTACTGCCATTCATTCTGTTCTTTATTTCTTCCTAAACTGTCAGTGGTTATTTGGAACATTCAAAGCCCATTAAGTTAGATGTGCCCATGAAAGTAAAAACAAAGGCTTGGAAATGTTATTAAAGATATATAAGGTGGTAAGCAGCCGTGGGGCTTAACTCCAAAGCTGTTGGCATGCTGTCAACCTCCCTTATTCAAACCACTGCAAATGATGTCAAGGTGATGGTTAGAAGGTGGTGATTGAGTGTCTTTTAGGTGATTAGCAAAGTCTGATCAGATCTTTCCAGTCTTGCAGGGCAGCTGAAATAATCAAAAGTGATATCTGGTTTAATATAGTAAGACAAGGCTATGTTTAGTGAGTTATCAGCTGGGAAAGGAAACTCACCAATAAATGCCTCATCTTGTACTAAGAAGGCAGGTTATAAGCAGATGTTTATGCCCAGCTGTGCTCTAAGGACCTGTCGTTGATGTGGGTCCATAGATATCACAGCTTTTAAGATATAGCCTTTAATCACATGGCCTTCCCATCTCATACCAAAATCACAAGGCAGGCAGAATGAAGGTGGATTTCACTGGTATTTAGAGCTGGTAGTCTTGGTAATGTCCTTTTTCATGCAACTGGTTACACCAGTAGAGATTAATTTGGCAAGTAGACTTCCCCCAGCTGGTGTGTCCCACAGCAATAAGGAGGTTCTCTCTGATCAGACTGATTCCCAGATACAGCTCCAGCGCATGACAGACAGAGATGACTGCATATAATAGATGAAGATACGATGTTGGTGTCAGGCAGCTCTGTGCTCCATCATGCATCTACTGAAATCAGAAGTGCTCCAAACAGACAAGCAAAGCAAAGCAAAGCATGTGTGTGCTAGAGGGGAAGGATTCCCACATTTCCCTTATGCAGTCGTGCTGTCCCTGTCCTGTTCTCAGCCCTCTCTTGCACAGGTAGGCTGAGAGGTTGTGGACCTTTTAGATCATACCCAGCTCTGTCTTGGGAAGGTTCTCAGTGGGAAAGATCCCAATTCACCCTTGTTGCTGGCAGGCACCAGTCTTGGTGTGGATGAACCCCATTTCAGCTGGGTAAGCTTCTGTTCTTACAGGCTTGGGACCCCTTTCTTTAAAGCCAGTGATCCCATCACATGTTTGAACTATGATTTCCATATGCTTGCTCAGCACTAATTTTCTCTTTTATGCCCTAACAGCATATTAACCACAACAGTAGTGAAGCAAGAGAAGTTAAAACAGAGTTAAATTATGCCTCACTTTCTCTGTGTAACTTTCAAGACTCATATTGAATGCACTAATGAGAAAAACATAAATATGCACCAGGCTGAATTTCTCCATGTCACAGGAAGTACTGCCTTGTCAGTAAGAGAATTAATCATGCAAAAGTTAAATTGCTTTGCAGACCAGTAAGCAATAGCTCTTATTTGTTACCATAAGCATCATCTCATAAAACCAAGCCCAAATCTTAGAACAAAAGTAAAATGGGTTTTTCTTTGGGAGTTAATTAGTTTCACAGTGCTGACACTTTGTTTTTGATGTTGCTTTTGTCCCCCCCTCTTACAGACAGAAACTCTGCTTCTTCAGGTGGAAAAGAGAAATCTGTGTGACTGTGTAGCTGCAAATCTGCTGAACTGAATCCAGGAGGCCAACTGTATCACCTGTTCAGCGGTTTTTAAAATGCAGCTGTATAAAATACAGCTTTATGGGGTTCATGTTGCAAGCACGTACACCCCACTGTACTGGGATACTGGGGGGTTGTGTCTAATGTATTTGTCTGTTCTGGTTATTTTTATTTATTTATTTATTTATTTATTTTTAAGTCCTCTTTTCATATCCAATGGGTTGCCAGTAAGGGCTCAGTTCGGTAAATCTGCTACTTGGCATTAGAGCGGGAGGGGGGAAATTTACATGCTTTGATTTTTAAATCAGAGTTGGCCAAGTGTAACCCACAGGATAAATATGGCCAGCGGTGCTCTAGAGACAGCAGCAGCTGGTTTTGGTCTCTAATATGAGCATACCTCTGTGGCAACTTCCCCAATTATATTGAGACAGGTAATTGTGGTCTCTGTAGGTTTTGCCTGTTTATTAAAGATGATGGAAGTCCTTTCTGTTTGTTGTCTGTGCTGTGGCCACGTTCAGGCATCTTGTAGTTATATCAGCTGAAAGAGGCATGTGTTACGAGGAGGTATACGTGTGCTGTACTTGGACCAAAACAGCTTATACCTTTGTGCTGAATTTCTGACATGCCATGTAAGAGTGTTGTCTTCTTTAATTAAAACCTTTAATTTCTTACCCTTCTTCCCTGGACACTCCATTCTTAACCCACCATATCTCTAAATAACTCCATCCTAGCAGATCAAATGGGAAGAGCAAAAAAAGGAGAATAAGACCATGACTTTGCAGCCTTGCTGGCAGCCTTTCCAGAAGGCCAAAACCTCTCCAGTTGAATTTGGAAGAAGGTTCCTGCCTGTGGCCTTAACTCTTTAACTAAACCAGTGTAACTTTAATGGGAGTGGATGAGAGAGGTGACACAAATACTGCTCTGCCAGGTGCTGGGCTGCCTTTAGAGGGCTTCAGCTGATCCTGGTTATAGCAGAATGCTTTCTCAGAGTTTCTTGGCTTTTCTAGCAGTTGGGTCTTCCCTGTCTTGTTCTAGCTTGGCTTTGTTCCTCTGCTTTGCTCTGGACCTGCTGTGGCTCTCCTCTCAGTGCAACCTTCCAGTCTGGCACTGGCCTCTCTCTAGGCCCAGGAATCTCCTGGTGAACGCCTGATACTCTTCAGGTCTGCAGTCCCCTCAGATCCAACTGATAGCACTGCAGGAGTAATACGTGGTGTTCCCACTACTGTGGGGTGAGGGCACGTGGTGCTGAGCAACACCGGTATCTCATTCCCTGTCTGGTGAAGGTGCTGAGAGTAAGGGCCTGCTTTTACCTGAGAAGCCAGCGTTCCCATAGTGGAACCTGGAGGGAGTCCCAGAAGAGTGCACATGGTAAAAAGCCAGCTCCCAAAGCTCAGCTCGTTGGTGGCCCACCATGGTGCTGTAAGCTCACCAGCTTGGTTTAGGTGTGGGCAGGAACCCACACAGCTAACATGGCACACAGTTCTCAAAAAGGGTTGGCAGGGGGGCCTGGGAATTGCACCCAGCAACCAGAATTGGTTCTGGGCAAGTGAACAGAAACTTTTAATGGATTTGAATACGTATGTTCGGGTTTCATATGACACAGTGACAAGAGCGAAGGCCATTTTTATAAAGCAAAAGAAAACAGCAAAACCAGGCAAACTGCTGACGAAGGCAACTAGAATAACCCATACTCACAAAGAACATTCTTGAGTCTTCAATCTGGACAAGAGATGGCTGAAGAAGGAGATGATATAAACTTACAAAATCATGAGTGACCAGAGAACAACTGTTTGCTGTCACCTCCCAAGCAAGAAGTGGGGCACAGTGAACTGAAACCAGCTGGTGACACAATAAGAGCAAATAGAAGGATGATGCTCTTGACCTACTGCGTGTTTAAGTTGTAGAAGTCCTCATTGCAGAATGTTGCTCATCCTAAAAATTTAAATGCGTTTAAAAAGCAGCTGTTCAGACTCATGCCTGAAAATCCTATGGCAAAATGTTAAATATAAAAATGACAACTTAGATTCAGAAGGTTCCTGAACCACAAGTTCTTACAGGTTAACAGCACTTTAGGAAGCCCCTGTAGTTGCCCTGGTTTTATACTTTTCCCGACATTTAATAATGGTCTGTGCCAATGATAAGACACTGGCCTTACAAGGATCTTTGGTGTGGTCTGGTGAGGTTGTGTATGTGTAGAAATGAACTGCTTCCTCAACTCATAAAGCAAACCCCCTCCCAGTGCTCCAGAGAGCCACACGTTTTATCCCTTCAACACAAACACCTCCAGAAAGCCTCAAATTCTGGGTTTCCCCATTGTCCAAGGACAGGCACCATTAAGTAGGCCAGTGGCCCTGCTTCTGTAGCCTGGTACACTGCAGAGACTGCTCCAAAGCCAGGAGTCTTTCGCTCCTTTATGAAGTGAAAGAAATGGAACTTCACATTTGCCTGCTTCCAGGAATAAGCTATATAATTATGCAAATATTAAGGTCTCTTTTTGTACTGTACAAACCCATTCCTATCTAGCATTCATTCCCTGCCCTATGGCCTTACAATGAAAAATGGAAGTTTGGGGTTGGAAACAATTAGTACAAACAGGCTGACCTCTTCCCATCATACTTAAAACTCACTATTGCCACTCAGTATCCTATAAGAAGTTATTTGATTTTATTTTTTTTTACTCAAAATCCAACAATCTCCATTAAATCCAAACTGTTTTATATGTATTTGATAAGGCCATCAGAACACGCATGCATCCTTCTCACTGTACATCTTGTCCCATTTCATTCCCTGTACTGCATTATGTGGTTTGTCTCTTGCTTTGTGACTGCACTGAAAGCTGTTTGGGACAAAGAAGTTGTTAATAGCACTGGATGGTGGCCACCACACCTTCAGGTGTTGTGAACTTATTAAATAAAAATCAAAATGTAAAATATTCTGGCCTGTTGCTCTAGTTTCAAACACAGTATTTGTTTTTTAGCAGAGGTTTGCAGTTTAATTTCCATGTAGATATTCCTTAACCTTCTTAATCCAGCTTGCCATTCGAGCTATAACTTCATAGAGCCATGGGGAGTGGCAGAGACAGTATTTTCAAGGCCCCCAAGATCCTGAATTTTAAGAAATGTCTTAAAACATAAGAAGAGAATTGTAGGTATGGCTGCCATGAGAAGAGAAATGCAAATTTCTGCAGATACTCCATTTCTTGTGTTGGTCTGCCCATGCTTCCTTTCCCGGTAGTCAAGGCTGTAGAGCTACAGTGGGAACAATTTGACAATACTAATTTTATTTTTAAATTATTCTTTGCTGTGAGGCAGTGTCCACAATAGATGTAACAACTTGATCCTCTGTTTTCCAGTTGTCATCCTATGATTTCTGCTCTGAACATGCACTTGCTGAAAACCCACTAACACATCAGCTTGTGTTAATTAGCCTTGAGCACCTCTTGCTGTTTAAATCAAATTATGTGATACTGCACTTTTCAGGTCATCTAAGTGGCAAAACAATATCTTGTTCTTGTTGTCAATAGAGTCTGGAAGTGGAACAGCATTGGAAATGTTCTCATTTTACTTTATATAGCTTCACTCTTCTTTGAGAGTCCGAAACAACTGGAAAGAATGCTCACTGCTCCGTGGGGTAAGCAGGACACAGGTTTCAAGGGAGGCTAGTATGCAGGTTATTGTTTTGGGGTGGGGTGGGCTCTGAATATTAACATAATAGCATTAATAGCTGCACTTTACACTTAATATTCATGCTCAAGCAAACATAAGCCCCAAGCTTCATATAATTGTTAGGTATTTTCTAAGCATTGCTGCTCTTTTCATATATATATATATATATATATATTTAAGATTATAACTTTATTTTTATCCTAGTCCTTTGTTTTAATTCTACACTCCATAAAATATTTGACTTTGATAAAGCCTGCAGATAGCACAGACAGAAAAATGAATAAATCACACCACGGGGACAGTGAAAATACTGCAGAATGTTTTTGTTCTGTGAAGTGTTAGTTGTTGCATTAAAGCAGTTTGGGTCTTGCGTTGTTAGAGAAAGCAGAGACAAAACACAGCTTCTATTTAGCTTTAAGTGCAAAGCAGTGCTAATGCATGCCAATTTGATGTGATTATTAGATAATCTAAGTGGCTCTTCTAAGAAATGAGCAGAAAGTGTAGGAGCTTGTTTGTATAACAGAGTTGTGCCGAGTCCAAATTAATGGAAAGATCTGCTAATATAAAGTACATTTCTATGTCAAATCTGGACTTACTTTTGAGCAAAACAACCTTCATTTATGTTAACAACATTGGCAAAATTTGTGGTTTATGGACACAGCCTGGTGAAAATCTAGTGATACCAGGTTTGATGAGGTTGTATCTGTTGAGCTCTCAACCCCAACCTAAAAAGATGACCAACTGTGAAAGATGTAACGAATAGTTTTACTCTGGAACTCTTCAGGTAAATATAGGGCACAAACTTTGGGATCAAAATCAAAGTTACCAGCATTTGTGAATGCTTATAGTCAAGGATTTCACTGGAAACCACCTTTAGTGCAATAAATTGAATTTCAAAGCTTTGAGCAGTTTGGGTTGTTTTTCTTCCCCATTAAAGGGCAAACCTTCAAATCATTCATGCAGTAAATTTGATACACAAGGTTCCTTGCCTAAGCAGCTCTTGAATTCTTCTTGGACTATATGTACACTGTAATAAAGCATCCAGCTTGTGAAATGTATTTGTTTTCAGCCAACAACACTGAATATAACTAATGCACAATTTATTCTTGCATTCAAGGAGGAACTGAACAATATTTAAATGCCTTTTGACAGCTGGTATATTGCACATTTGAAGAATGGTTTGTTTTATATACAATGGAAAATCAAATTGTATTTCACCCATGGAGGGTGGAAATACAGACTTCAACAAACAAACAAAGAAACAAAGCTTCTAGAAGTCCTAGAAGCTTTTCTAAAACAAGATGAGACCTCACCTTCTCTTTCTGTATGCACATACAGGCTGCTCAGAGAACTGTCTGTGCCTTCTGCCACTGCTTTTGATAGCAACAGAATGATGTACCAAAACCAGCACCTAGAAAAACCCCACCAGGTACTTCCTGAACATAACTGCTTTCAGAACAAATTAATTCAGGAGAAGTTTTCACATACAGTTCTTGAGCAAGTAAAAAATGACATGCTTATATTTTAGACATGAATAAGACTGGCATAGCGGGGCAGATAGGTCAGCTTTACTGTTTATGTTCATGACATTCAGGTTGTGTGTACAGGATTAATACACAGCCCTTGCCTATGCTGTAAACTTACACCCTGTCCAGCACAGTGAATCATTGCTGAATTTGCAGGAGTCCAGTGCAAACCTTCAAATATAAATTCTGAAAACACTGATATTTTGCCAGCTGTTCTTACTTTTTCTTGGAACTAAAAGCATGAGCTGACTTTCTTTTCACACTAGCTTGACAGCTGCCCCTCCTGTATAGCTGAGAGCATTCTAGGCATTAGGGATCATCTAAAGATGCTCGTCACGCTTGGCTTCAATTTATTTTTGGCAAATTGATCAAGCCTGGATCTTTCCCCACATCTTTCACTGTGGTGAGTGAGACCTCTTGGAGTTGATTATTTCCTGCACTAAAGGATATCTTTGTGCCGAGTTTCAATCACGCTCCTGGTTTGCAGCCATGTCCCTGTTTTGCAATGTCATGTGGACTTTGCTGGGACAGCTGCAGGGCCTCAAAGCCTTGCAGTCTGACCAGGGTTCAGCTGGCTTCTTGAAGGGTTTTCCAGGAAGCCCTAAGAAGAGGAACTTGTCAAGCAATGTTGCCAAGAGCAAAATCATTATTTCAGGAGGAAGGCATTTTTTCTCCACCAAAACTCCGACTGAGTGCTTAAAGAAGATACTGAGTCATCAAGCAAAGGTGAATCATCTCATGGCACAAGAGACAAGATACGTAGAGGATGCTTTGATTTTCAGTCCTTCTCAGGGCCCGAGATGCCTGTCAGAAAAGTAATAAAACAGTTTATTCTCTTTATGTTCTGAAACATCTACTGTGCACCAGCCTGCCACCCCTCATCTCATCTGCAAGACTGTAAAATAATCATTTAAAGGAGTGTTAAGAAGCTGTAGGCCCTGGCAGCTGCCCTTCAGTCAAATATCTCTGAATTCCTTTGTCAGTGACTCATCCCAAAATGGGAATGCACTCTTGCCACCTAACTTGTTCAGACCAGAAAAGCATTGCCTTTGCCGTGCTCAGTGCTGAAGGAGAAATAGTCTGAATTTCAGCTGCTGCATGAAGGCAATACATTTCTCCCAGGGGTGTCTGTGTTTATGCTGGAGTTACTACACAAAGAGCTGGGAAGTAACTACTGGGGAAACAAAATGATTTTTCTCATCAAAGAATCATGACAAACAGGGAAGAAGCAATCCAAAAACAATCACCTTGTCTTAATGCAGGGCCAACTATCCCAATATGCCATTCCTAAATGGTGTCTAACTTATATTGACCGGTTTAAATATCCCCCTGTCTTCACAGGCAATCCATCCCAGTGACATTCCTATCATAAAGTTTTCCAGGGATGTTGGGGGTTCCTCCTTGGTGCTGCTTAACCTGGTACTCCTCATCTGATCCACCAGTGATGCCCAGAATGATGCTTTCTCTGTATCAGCCTTTTATGTACTTGAAGAAAATTTCATGTCTGCTTCTCTTTAGACCGAACAACCTCAGTTCTTCCAACTGTTTCTGGTAGAGCACAATTCCTAAACCTCATCAGAAAGTCATTTCTGATGTTGGTGCCCCTGCTAGTTCCTGGCATTCCTGTATTGCAGCGACCAAAACAGATGTAGTACCACAGCTGAGACCTTGTGCTGAAGAGTCTAAGCTTTTGCACACTTTTTTTGTACATCCCAGTGTAATTGCCTTTCTTGGCAGTGACAGAATATTGCAGACTGATTTCAGCTCATGATTTCCTAGCTCCTCCTTAGAAGTGCCACTTAACCTGCTGTTTCCCATTCTAGATGTCAGTTGTTGATTATTGCTGATGAAGTGTATCACCTTGTCCTCATCCTTATCAATTTTTAATCTGTTTTTAGACCTTTTTTTTTTTTTTTTTTTTTTTAATCTGTTTGTATGATTTAGGTTTCTAGTCCTTTCTCCCAGCATTACTTATAACCTCCTGATCTGGTATTATATCCCAAATAATCACTTTGCTTATTCATTACCTAGGTGACTAATGAAATGCTGCATAAGCCTTGACCTAAGCGAGCCTCTCCAGCCCCCATGTGATACATCTTTCCATGCTGATGGTGATCCATTGCTAACTCACAGCAGTTATCCAGACCCAGAGAAGTTTCCTTGCTTTGCTTCTGACAATGCTCTGTGACACAGCATCAGAAACTTGCCAGAAGTTGGTTAAATTTGGCTTTTCCCTACCCATAATGCCTGTTGCCATATAACAGAAGGACTTTAAAATGTCTTGACTTGGTTCTTGATAAACACCCTGTTAATGGCAATTCTACTTGTTTTACAAACACTTACAAAATATTGTTAGGATTATTGCTTATAAAATATTTCCAGGGACTGAAAATAAACTGGCTCACGTGTCATTTTCCAGTTTCTCTTTCCCCTTTTAAAGATATTCACCACATTTACCCTTTTCTATGGCTGGTAGAACTCACATCTTCCCTGAGCTCTCAGCAATAATTGATGATAGCAATTGCTTTAGTTGCTTCTTTAAATAGCCTGAGATAGGTGTACTGACAGAACTGAGCAAAAAAAGAGCACTAGGCAGATTGAAATCCAGAAAAATGACCTGGCAAAAATCTGCAAATGTATATAACTGATGAAATTTTCTGCTAAGCTGTTCTTTCATGAATCATTTTCATTGGTGTTGCTTGTCTTAGCTACCTGCTCACCACAACTACAAGTGCTTTAGT